GACCTTAAATACATTGTGCATCAATTTAGATCAATATGGCATATACAGCATATAATTTGAATGGAAAGTTTCGAAGATATCACAGATTAAAAATGTAGTGACATAGCGGTTCCGGCGGTACCGGCCGGGGTGCCGGCGGCGAGCCTATAAACAGCGTGTCGAAGGCCGCGCTTCGCCCTGTTGCACTTTATGATTAGCAGCGATCGCACGCGTTTATCGGAGCTCTCTAGCGAGGAAAATAACAATACTTTATAGACATTCTATAGTATATTTAGAATCAGCATTGCATCCGTGCGAAACCGGGGCGGCTCGTTAGTAATAATATATTTTGCGAAGGTTAGACTCGGTTCGGTCCTTTTTTCTTCATGTTATCGATATTGATTTTTAATTTGCAACCTTATCGCGTTTTATCAGGTACTTGATTGCTTTCTACTTCAGATATGCATTCGTTAAAAATAACGTTATCATTCAGAAAGCGATTTGAAATATTCGTTAGGTTTCAATAATGAGTCTTGGGTAGAATATGAATCTAGTATATTGATAAGGTTACTTAAATTTAAAAATATATTCGAAAAGGGATCTAGAACGTGCCATGGAGCTTGTACCAAACGTTTCGTCTATCACTGCGGCAAACATCTTCATTGATATATGACCGGTCGTTGTTGACACTTTGGAATACTACCTTTGTCGTATCATATACAAGATATCTGACACAATAGCAGCCTCCTACCGCGGAAAATATGTTTTAATAAAGTTTCATTTGATTTAGATGCGATGTAAATGCTAGTCTGCAACTAGGTTCAATATGTTCCCACAACATTGCAGTACACACAGTATTCGTAACCAAATATAAAAACTAATTGGCTTTACGAGTACTTTTTGGTTCTCTTATCAACTCAAAGATGATTAGAACTTGGTGATATGAAAACAAAAAAATATCTGTTATACCTACAACATAGGTATATTTCATTCAAAATCAAATTAAAATTTTCATGTTATCAAATGGTAGTTAGGTACCTGATGTGAAAGTCGGTGTGAGTTTGGCTCTCAAATTCTTCCACCTCTTGTCTTCCAAAGAGAAGAGATGTGCTGACAGTGGATCCATCTTTTCGTTGTAATACATTTTTGTCTGGGTGATATGTCAATTCAAATATCGTTCAATCCCGTTATTGCCGATGTTGCATATTTGACATTAATTAACTATCAACGGCACAAAACTTGAAAATCAGAAATTATAGAAATACAAAATATATAAAATAATATGTGTTGTTACTTTGAGGAATGAAATCTGACTGACTTGGGATTCGAAGCTTCGAAGATGTGTGCTCCTGTGAGAACTATCTTGTCAGTATCTGGAACAGGGTGGTGATACTACTAGATCAACGGGATTGTCCTAGGTGGTGAGATAATTCTTCTCCTCCCCAAAGATTCAACTATCACGCACAGCGGGGTAGATGAACAGTGGATAGATCGGTTCCTTCATTTATTACTTGCAGTTGGTTCTCTTCTTGGCTTGGCTTTTCATTGGTGTAACATCGAAGTACATCTTTTTCGTACAAGAAGTAAACTATCATTAATATGATCGTTATGTAAATCACTAAAGTCCATATACTTGGTGATTGGTAAAGTCCGCCTTGATTGAATGTTATTTCAGGATTGTTATCAATTAGATGATTTTTCAGGTTTTGGAGTTCTTTCAGGTCAACATCGTCTAATTGTAAGCTCATATTTACACTTCTTGGAGGGTTGCGATCTTGGTTCAATTCGGGAATGAATATTATTTGATTGCTGTTGATTACTTTTTCTTCATTGATTATTTCGATTTGATTCGCCTTCATTTTGCAGCCTACTGGGATATCGATTGAATAGGATTCAATTATTCTTTGAACTTCCTCTTGTTCGTAACATTGTAGATGGATTGTCGTTTTATTCGGGAATGTCGTGTCCATTGGGTAGAGTCTTGCAGTTGGCTAGCTATTGGCTTAGTAATCCTAATATCGATTTGTCTACATATAGTAGTGTCTTCCATTTTCAGGAGTTGCAGCTCACAGAGATTTCCAGAAATTTCTGTGATCTGCATTTTTTTGCAAACATAAAAATTGTGGTTTGACTTTCAAACAATCGTTGCTTTTAAATGTGAAATATTCTGAATTCTTAGTAAAAATGAAATTTTTAATATGAGTGATAGTAATCGAAAAAGTATGGATATGTGATTGGAATATGAAGAAGGAAGGTTATTCTATTGTTCAGAACATTCAATGTTTATCATTTTCTCTAAGTTCAATATATTTTCTAAAATAATGTCAATAGAATAATTTCTAATGGTTTGGTGGCTGTTGGGGTTATATCCATGTTTGTTTTAATAGGATGTCTTTTTTATTTACTTCGTTGACAGATTTCACACTCGTTAATAAAGGTGTGGGATAAACGGTTCTGAGTTTTTGTTCGGTCTTGTCAATACCTCTGTGATTACTTTCACCTTCGTGATATGTCTGGATCAGTTCCAATTTCGAGTCTGTAGCTAGATATGGAATCATATTTTGGGGAAGCAATAGTAATATAAATAAAATATTTGTAATTCAGAAAAAAGCAATCGAAATGATGAGTAATTTGAAGTATAATTAGTCGTGGAGATATTCAAGAATAAGGGGATAATGACGATATATATACTCTTCATATTTATGAATGCCTAATGTTTGTATTAAAGAATAGGCAAAGGATTCACAATATTAATCAACATTCCTATGGAACAAGAAGAATTGATTTTGTGCTCCCTATACATAGGTTACCCATAACAGAAAAAAGTCCTGATTACATGTCAATGCAGCTGTATAATAAATTGCGAAATCTAATCAAAGATTTGATGAGATGACAAATATGGAATGTGCCTCTTTCCACCTCAGAGTCGCAATGGGCTAGTACGTATGTCTTAGAACTCAAAACTTTCTCAATTTTATAGTGTCCCTCGAATAGCAACATTAGCTTTTTGGTCTCCTGAAGGACCGCCGACGAAGTTGGGTTAGACTTAAGAAGCACTAATTCACCTTGTGTGAACGGCTGATAAGGCCTCGAAGTAAAACGAGCTGCACGTCTCTCTGCCCGTTTCTGCAAATTTTCCCTGGCAAAGAATAATTCAACATGAGAGTTACACCTGTCAAAAATTCTCCGAGTGGAGAAATAGCTCGAGTCCCGAAGTGAAGTTCCACGGGAGGAAATCCAGTCGTTTCATGTGTCACGGTATTCAGAAACCTAATCACATTAATCATTAACGCCCATCGAGAATGATGACGGTGACAATAAGTTCTTAAGATTCTTCCCAATTCCCGGGTAACCACAGGGTTACCCGGGGGGTGCCGTACGGACGAATAAATTATTTTCAAACCATGGTCCGGTAAAGTGTTCTTCCATCTTTGCGAAGTCATTTGTGTTCCTTGGTCACTCAAAATTCGCGACGGTTTACCCACCTGTACAAAATAGTGCTTGGTTAGCCGATTCAACATGCTTGCTGTTGTATCCCGTGTGGGAGAAGACCGAAAAGGTACACCGAAATAAGGTCATTTGGCTTTTCCGAAAATATCACCTCTAATACGTTTAACGTGAGCATGAAGGTTGGGTAACCAAACGTCTGCTTTCTAAGAGCACCAAGTTTTGTAGACTCTAAAATGACCATAATATTCGTGATGATAATGACGAAGTCAGTTAGCTTGGCCAAGGGAAGGCATAACAAATTACTTTCCTGATTCTGGATACATAACAGTCCCTCTCGAAGAAAGAAACGGCCCGGAGAGTCCTTTTGGATCGCCTCCAGCTTAGCAGACAACAGGGAATCATTACGTTGGGCTTCACTCATGTCCTTCATCAAAAGATCGAATTTTTTAGAGGCCTTACACATGGCCAGTACTCGGAAACATCCATCTTGAGGCGAAGGTGGCCTAAGTGGGGGGTGCCGAGACAAGACATCAGGTAAAAAGTTTTCCTTTCCAGGAATATACTTGGCTACAAATAAAAATTCAGTACCCAACGCGTGATGCGCGGCGATAAGAGGCGACAGGAGTTCAGATAGGAAAGCGCTTTATGATCCGAATGAATTACGAATGAATGAAATAATACGGCCGCGACACCGTGGAAAAATCCTCACAAAAAGCACGGTCGTAGTTGCAAAAACCTAAGAAAGCTTGTAATTATTTTACGTTTTGGGGTTTAGGAAAATCTTTGATGGCTTAGACTCTTGTCGGGTCTGGCCTTATACCGGTTGCATTGATTGAATACCCAAGAAAATTCATTTCTTTTTTGAAGAAACAACATTTTTTCAGTTTGACCGTGAAACCAGCTTCTAGAAGTCAAAAAAAAGGGCATCTGAGTGACGAATATGTTCTTCGAAAGAGCTGGNCCAAAAGGGAATTTGTGCAGGAGGTACGTTCAAATTTACAACAGCTTGTTCTAGTTTATTGATAAACATAACTGGATGTATTTCTTCCGTATCAAAAATTGGCAAAATATCTGTTGCGCTTGTTGATATAAAATTTGCATACCCTGCTGGGGCATGTGGCTGAAGGCACGATAACGGCTGTTGACGAGGTAGATTGGCTCCTGCTAGGTTTTCATTGTTGACAAAATTATTTTGCCCATTCAAATTTCTACAAGAGGCAAAATTTACATGATTTCGATATTCATTATTCAACCTAGAATTATCTGTATTATTAACATTAAAGTTATAAGTAAAAATATGGGCATCTCTATTTTCGAACGCAGTCAGTTTTTCACAAATTTTTATTTCTGGAAATTTCAAATTATAAATGATATCGAAACTGTTATTTTTCTTTTTGAAAAATATTGTTCACGGCATCCAAGACAATCGAATAGAAATGTTCCTTTTTTGTAACCCGTCAGAAGCATGGGCAATGGCTCCATTATCACCTTCAATAATGTTGGCTCAACATTCAACAAATAATTAAAACAGTTGAAAGGAAACTTATTTTAATAAACTGAAACATACTAACCATCCACAACTTTTTCCAAGTATTTCATCTCCATGATGGAATCATACGTAAATTGCATGTCGTGTTTCTTTAGAACCGTGTTGATTTCTCCTCTCAAGTTGTCCTGCATATCCTGGTTGAGGGCGAGCTCAAGCAGAGTGAAAGTCATATTTGTGGCAGACGATTCATACCCAGCGATAAAGAAGACAAAGCATTCTGCTGCTATTTCGTTGAAGGATAAAGTATCTGAATCTTTGGTCTTTGACCCTTCTTTAATAATACTTGTATCTTCGGTGACTTCACCCCTGTTTTTCAACTGTAGTAATAAATGCATAAAGTCTTTTCGATACACATTATTTTTTTCCCTGTACTCCATCGTTTCTCTAACTATATTCCTCAAGAAATCCTCTGTTGATTTGGAAATTATTTTGTAACTTATTGCATGCAAGAACCTATTGGAAAGCGCCAATAACGCGATTGCCTGGAGTATTCCTCTTACGCCCTCTTTGAACAACTGCCTTCCCCACTGCCTGAACTTCGAGTCTGGGTTCTTCAGACTGTTGCAGTCAATTCCAAAAGCAACTGAACCAATCGCGTCAGTTGCATATCTAGAACAGACTTCTTTGATGTCCACTGCATCTTGAATGACCGAGTATTCATTGAGGATATCTTCAATACCAAAACTACAGGCTACAAGAGTTGGAAACATCATCTTCAGTTTTCCTGAAATATAGAAGTGAATGATGAACTTGAGGACTTATACATTTTTTTCTCTAAATTCGAGTATAATACATCAAATAATGTTGATTATGATCATTTTGCTATGATAATTCCGCATGTAAAGGTCCTTTTGAAAGTATTATTCCGATATATGATTTCATTTTTTTTTCCATTTGTTCATATTTCAAAATACAGATTTCCAGTAATGTGTATTTCGAACGCAGTGGTAGCTAGCTTCTCTGACTGGTTTGAAAAAAATTTCACCATCATAATTTATCATCAGTTTACAACTACGTCGTGAATTTTCTGTCGAATAATAGATAACATGACAGTTGCAGATGAACTAATTGAAAACAAGTTTGAGTGTGTATACAGCGTGACTCACGGTCGATGGTAGGTTAGACGTTTCTGGAAAACGCAAAGCATGACTTTTCTGAAAATTTCAACTCTCACATTTCCTTACCTGTTCTATCAATCTAAACTATATTCGGCATTGCGGCGTTGCCACTTCCATCAAAAAGTCCTAGCAACTTTATTTTTTTAAATGGCACACCCCATATATTAATACATTTTTGGAATCGCTCTGATATTTAACTACTTTTTTGTTAATAATGTCCTATACCTATCTCTATCTGTTCTCGAGATAAAAAATAAATTGTGCTAAATATGGTCCCAAACATAGCCTTAAATGAAATTAAGTACATCAGTACAATTCATGAAAAGTTGATATTTTGATGATAGTTTGGAAAAACTCGATATATTCAAATAACACCAAGAAATCGACTCCATATTATACAGGGCGTGCTAAAATTACTATTATTTCCATTGTGCATGAAAGTAGTCAAAAATTCATTTTTTCAAAAGAAACCCTCTGTATATTAGTCGGTAAATTGAAATATGGTAAAAAATGCATCAAGATGATATATCATGTCCCTATACCTAAATCGTCAAGTTTTCTCAATAAAGTTGCTTCTTCTNTTCGTGGTCACAAGTAACATGCATTTCACTGTACAATCGTTTTCTCACAACGAGGGGTGATCACAGAATTATCCCTGTTTTTTGTGAGGTAGGTGTGTTCAGCTAGGGTTATCTGAATATTTCCTTTTTGAATATTTTTTAGAATACTCATACAGAATAATTGCCTCATGTCAGGGACCTGCGTGTCTCTGAAAACACTGTCACTTGAGTGTGTTCGACCTTTGTGAAGTACTATTTTTAAAAGCCACTTTTGAATTGTATCAAGATTCACCTCCTCCTCATCCAATTATCCCGTACAATTGAGACTGAACAAGTGCAGAATAGGTATAGAGTTTTCAAGTGTTTCATGTCTAGGAAGTTTCTGAGATATTGGAATTCAGAAAGTGTACCTGTCATCTTTCATACTGTTTCTTTTATGTGTAAGTCCCAACATAGGTGTCTATCAATTGGCATTATATTGGACTATGACGTGAATGGTAAGTAATTCGTTTTATCAAAGTTAATTGTGAATTTGTTCTGTCGAAACCAACTTTCGATTGCTAGAAAATCTTCTTCTACACATAACTTGAGTTGTTTCCACGTAGATCCTGTGTATATGACGGCAGTGTCGTCCGTAAAGCTCAAGTCCTTACAATAGGAAACAGGTATAATCTTGGCGTTTAATGTCAAAACTTAGGGAGATGAATGGCAATTTATTCTGGCAAAGTAGGTAGATTAAGAAAGCGCAAATTATTACAGTATTATTTCTAGGAAAACAGTTAATATGTAAATATATTGATAAATTACATTTTATGAGAACATGTTCAATAATGAATGAATAACGTCGTGACATAACTTGGTTTGAAATCTTCTAATTTTTATTCTTCATTTTTTGTTAATAATAATTTTCAATTTTTATTTCTCAGCTTTCAATAATATTCTAATTTTTATTTATTTGGTTGTTGTTTGTTATTTATTTGTAATTTCAGTTTTTCATTTAATAAAATTGTTATTTTCGGTTAATCTTGTTAATTTTTTAACTGTTTTTTCAGGGTTTTGAAATCAATTTATATTATATTAGACAATGGAAGTCCGAACTGATGAAATGCACCACGAAACATTGTCAACCACCTTCAAACAAACAACACAGTTGTTCGCACCTAAATGGTCCATCGCAACTTATGTGGTGTTTGACAGCATTCAGTTGGTGTTAATTTGAAATGTGTCCGTTGAAACTGTTGTGAAAGCTCGTTGATTTAATGAATATACACAGTGTATAATTTTAGAAGCACAATTTTCTAAAAAAAATTCGTCAAATGGAAAAAATATGTTATTTTGCGGTGGTAGTGTAGTAAATGTTTACATTTAAATAAATATTGATTTTTGAGTATACGGTATACGTTTACTTCATGCCACATCAAATTTGAGAGCATTTCTTAAAACGGTTCTTGCAAATGATGACAAAAATGTGAAAGCTTTGCCACTCGGTAATAATACTGTTAACAGAAGAATATACGAAATGGGTGAAGATATTGAAAAACAACTTGTTGAAAAGCTTGTGAACACGAGATCTATCAACTGAAACCACAAATGTGCGGTTGGCTCCTGTTGGTGGCTCCGTGCATTTGTATTTCTATCTTTTGGTAACCAAGTGTTGCCCATCCTTACACTTGGNTCACAGATTAAAAATGTAGTGACATAGCGGTTCCGGCGGTACCGGCCGGGGTGCCGGCGGCGAGCCTATAAACAGCGTGTCGAAGGCCGCGCTTCGCCCTGTTGCACTTTATGATTAGCAGCGATCGCACGCGTTTATCGGAGCTCTCTAGCGAGGAAAATAACAATACTTTATAGACATTCTATAGTATATTTAGAATCAGCATTGCATCCGTGCGAAACCGGGGCGGCTCGTTAGTAATAATATATTTTGCGAAGGTTAGACTCGGTTCGGTCCTTTTTTCTTCATGTTATCGATATTGATTTTTAATTTGCAACCTTATCGCATTTTATCAGGTACTTGATTGCTTTCTACTTCAGATATGCATTCGTTAAAAATAACGTTATCATTCAAAAAGCGATTTGAAATATTTGTTAGGTTTCAATAATGAGTCTTGGGTAGAATATGAATCTAGTATATTGATAAGGTTGCTTAAATTCAAAAATATATTCGAAAAAGGATCTAGAACGTGATCAAAGAAATTGCGTATTCTTTGAATTTCCCAAATTTTTTACATTTCTGCATTCAATGTATAAAATTGAAATGTCATATTATTTTTTATACACAAACTCACTACTCCGCCTCTGGTTCTTCGGTTTTAACGAACGAATTCCATTTGATCAGCAAGAACAAAATACAGGCGGTATGCCATGGTCGAATGGAACTTGTATCAAACGTTTCGTCTATCACTGCGGCAAACATCTTCATTGATATATGACCGGTCGTTGTTGATACTTTGGAATACTACCTTTGTCGTATCATATACAAGATATACACATATACACACAGTATTCGTAACCAAATATAAAAAATAATTGGCTTCACGAGTACTTTTTGGTTCTCTCATTAACTCAAAGATGATTAGAACGAAGATTAGAACGTCATATGAAAACAAAAAAATATCTGTTATACCCACAATATAGGTATATTTCATTCAAAATCAAATTCAAATATTCATTTTATCAAATCGTAGTTAGGTACCTGATGTGAAGGTCGGTGTGAGTTTGGCTCTCAAATTCTTCCACCTCTTGTCTTCCAAAGAGAAGAGATGTGCTGACAGTGGATCCATCTTTTCGTTGTAATACATTCCGCGGTTTACGAAATTGTCGAAGTCCTTCAGCAAGATGTTCTTGGTTAGATCGAGGTCGACTATAATCAAAACTGGCGAGAAAAAGGTGTAACATCCACCGAATTTCAATCCTCTAGATTTCAGGTCATCGTAAAACTTTTTGAACAGATCTCCTGTAGAAATTTTTCCGTGGACCATTCCTTTGATGTTCCCATAAAAAAAGTTGGGTTCGATGTACTCCACTCCTTTCCGGCACCAATAAGAATATATCCGTTTTATGAATAAATAGACGCCAGCTATCAATGCGCCCAAAATAAAAGTCGATGTTAGCAAGAACGTCATTATTATGCAACTATCATGAATGCACTGGAATCAAGTGCTTTTGTCTGGGTGATATGTCAATTCAAATATCGTTCAATCCCGTTATTGCCGATGTTGCATATTTGACATTAATTAACTATCAACGGCACAAAACTCAGAAATTATAGAAATACAAAATATATAAAATAATATGTGTTGTTACTTTGACTGACTTGGATTCGAAGCTTTGAAGATGTGTGCTCCTATGAGAACTATCTTGTCAGTATCTGGAACAGGGTGGTGATACTACTATATCAGCGGGATTGTCCTAGGTGGTGAGATAATTCTTCTCCCCAAAGATTCAACTATCACGCTCAGCGGGGTAGTTGAACAGTGGATAGGTCGGTTCCTTCATTTATTACTTGCAGTTGGTTCTCTTCTTGGCTTGGCTTTTCATTGGTGTAACATCGAAGTACATCTTTTTCGTACAAGAAGTAAACTNTAACTTCCTTTTTCTCTTTGACATCGATAAGTTTGATTTTATATCTTTTAAATTTTAATGAAGGCCATTTGAAATTTTGTCTAATTACTTCGCAAATTCATTCATAATTATCTGGATTTTCAAAGTGGAGATAATAAGGTATGTAAGGTGTGATATATTCTCTTACAAAAACCATTGAGTCTCTTTCAAAATTATTTAAAGAAAGCTGAACAGTCATTCTCTGTTTCTTCTCAAATAAAATCGTTATTTTTGGTTTAGATGATGAATGGAGAACAGATTGGAAAATAATTTGGTTTTGACCGCAATTTACTGGGGATTCTGAAATGGGTATTTCAACAATTGGATTTTCCTCGTTATTAGTGTGTATGGTAACATTATCAATTTCTTGAAATGGGTTTAATTCATGTTCATCAACAGTTTGAGTAGTTTCTGTGTCATCATTAACTACCATAGAAATATTATCTTGAAAATGTTCACCTATTTCTAAGATTTCCAAAGATGGTTGGTAGTCTGGGGTATCTAAGTTAGTGTTTATAATATTTTAGTTGTCAAAAGTAACAAATGGGCAAGTCAAGTTCTTCCCAAAATGTCTTTAACTCTTTTGTGTGTAGGTCAATGCGTAAAAGTGCATCGCCATTCGTATTAGATGACCCTTTTTGTAAATTATATTATAGTGATACTCTTCAAGTTTAATTCACCATCTTAGCAGTTTAGAACTCTAGTCTTTGGTTGAAAATAATCATTGAAGTGGTTTATGATCCGTGATAATATTGAATTTCATGCCAAAAAGGTAGGGACGAAAATATTTGTTCTTTTTCTATTGTATTGTAATTTGATTCGGAGTCGTTTAGAGTCCTTGAGGCGTATGCTTCTCGGAAGTATTTTCCAATAGGCCCTTGGCTCAAGACTGCACCCAAAGCTACGTTTGATTGAACGGTTTAGAAAAATTTGTTAATTAATTATTGAATTTTTACAAGTTTCGAAACTCGATAGAAATTCTTTGTCGTGGATAATCTGTGCACCCTTCATCAAGCATTTATTGTTATCATCAAGCATTTTATTATTTATTAATGAATCTTCTATAATATCCTAAGAGTCCTAAATATCTTTTAATTTGTTTAGTTGTTTTTGGAATAGGAAAGTACTTTAATTTTATTTTATCCGGATTTGGTTTGACACCGTTTGGAGTAACAATTCAGCCAAGATGGGCCACTTCTGTTCGTAAGAATTGTGACTTCATCAAGTTGAATTTTGAAGTTTGACTCTTTGAGTCTTTTGAAAACTGCTCTTGACTTTTCGATATGCTCTTGGAGGGATGCGGAAAAGATAATTATGTCATATACTAAGCATTTTTCGTTTCGAATATCTCTAAGGATATTCTCTATGACTCGTTGAAAAGTAGCGGGAGCATTCTTTAGACCAAATGGCATCCTGAGGAACTCCTAATGCCCATTTTCGGTATTGAATTCTGTTTTTTCAATATCTTCCTCACACATTTCAATTTGGTGGAATCCGCTGGTAAGATCTAAAATCGAAAAATATTGGCACCCACCTAGCCTATTTAGTTATATTCGGCAAAGGATATTTATCCATTTAGTCGTCCCCAAATTGGGGACGACTAAGGTGAACAACTAGGCATAATAATTTTGTGATTTAACATTTTTTGAATTTGTGTTTGCACTTCTTTTTTGGAAATGAATGGATATATGTATGTCTTTGTATGAAAGGGTATTTCATTAGTTTTTATACGATTGGACTGAAGCCTCCAAAAACTACCTACATAAAACAATCCAGGCTTCAATTTCAAAAATTTGCAAGGGTTTCATGTAGACCTTCAATTTGGAAATAATTGTCATTTAACAAAAGCATTATTAGGTTGTTTCAAAAGTTTTGTTTGTTTTTATGAGCCTACTTAAAACTGCAATTCCTAAGTGAATCCCAATTTGAAATGAACGCCATTTGAATCAGTGCAATTTTGCCAACGTAACACGAATCGATTAATTTCACCAGCATAAAAATGGTATGCTCGGGATTCGACGAAATCGACGAAGGCCGTTTTCGCCTGGTTCTACAAGTGAAAAAGTTATCGAAGAGCTTAAAAAGATAGTAGTCGATGGGCGAGATATCTGGAGAGTATGGTGGGTGAGGCAAAACTTTGACGCTGAATTCGTTTAATTTCAGGACGGTAATTTGTGAAACATTCGGACCGGCGTTGTCGTGAAGCAGAAGAACTGTTGACCAGTGGTTGCTGCTGCTGATGCAGTTTTTGGTACATCACATCGAATTTTTCACAATAGGACTCTGCTGTGATTGATTGACCCGATTTCAGAAAGTTGTAGTGTATCACACCAGCCGCTGACCACCATGGTATTTTTTGGTGGGTATACGTCTTCGACTAGTGCCAGGGCGACTAATCGGTGTCCAACCATTGTCCTGAAGGTTTCCTGTTGTCGAAGACGTGGCAATCCGATTCAAAAAAGGATCGTTTTGGTTGCGCCATAGCAAAGAAGAAGAGGCTTCAAAACGTGACAATTTCTGTTAGTCCTTCAAATCGTGGGGCAACCAATTTTCGAGCCTTTTTCCATTACGTTCTAAACCATCAAAAACCACATGAGAGCTGACGCCCAGTTCTTCCGCTATCCCACCCATCTTTTGCGATGGGTCAGTCTCCACCAAGGTCCTCAAGTTCTTGCACCAACAATGCGTTCATTGACATTGCCAAATGCTTGGCTAATTTTTCGGACTATTTTGGCAGCGCTTTGGTTCAACACAGTAGAATAAACATTTATTGAGATATGGAGCTATAATGAAGCGGACAAATATTTTGAAACAACCTTGTATAAATTTTGGTGCTACAGTTTCAGGAGATAAACATTGTTTCAGGAAATTTTCTGCTCTTCGGCTATTTTTTTTTAATTTGAAAAAAGAGGCTCGAAGAGCAGATAAATAGTTTTGTGTTAATTCTATTTTCTGAAAACTGGACATTGCTCAATGTCAGTCTGAATGTTTTGAAGGTGTATAAGTATATATATAT